ATGTCGAACTTCAGATCCTCGTCGTTGGGTACAACCACCCGTGGAGGATCAGTGGGCTCTACCCGATAATAGAGGAGGCCCTCCTTCAACTCATATCGGTGGAGCCGTGAGCGCTGTCGCGACGAGAGCCAGTCGGACTTCGCGCTCGTTCCGGCCTTAAGGAACTTGACGATAGGCGCGACAGCCTCATCGTCCCGATACGCCATGCGTATCCGATCATATAGATCCGTTGTCACCCGCGTGATGTGGGCCAACTCATAGTCGGGACGCCTAGAGAGGGCGTCCGCAAGCACGTTGAGCTTGCCCGGCTTGTACTCGACGCGGAAGTTATATTCCGCGAAGAAGGACAGCCACCTCGCCATCCGTTGGGAGAGGTGAGGCGAGTTAGTCGCCGTCCTCAAGGACGCGTGGTCTGTGTAGATCACAAAGGGCGTAGAGCCCAGAAGGTGAACACGGAACTTCACAAGGGCATATTTCATTGCCAGGAGCTCCTTGTCATGGACAGGGTAGTTCCGCTCGGCGGCTTTGAGCTGCCTGGACTGGAATGAGATGACTCGTTCCTGTCCAGCCGTGTCGTCCTGCAGCAATGCACACCCGATGGCGTAATCGGAGGCATCGCAGACGACGCTAAACGGCTTCGTCTCGTCCGGCAGAGCCAGGACAGGGGCCTCTTGGAGACTGGCCTTGATGCTGTCAAAAGCATCCTGGTGCTCTTGCTCCCAGCGCCAGTCGACGTCCTTCTGAAGGAGGCTCGACAAAGGCTTAGCGAAGCCCGCGTACCCAGCGCTGTACTTGTGAAGGTAGTTGGCCAAACCCAACCACTTTCGAAGATCCTTCTGGGATCGGGGCGTCGGCCATGCTGCTATGGCCTTGACCTTGTCTGGGTCAGCCCGAACGCCCACGTTGCTTACGAAGCAACCGAGAACTTTGATCTCTGGTGACGCGAAAACGCACTTGTCGATGTTGGCGTAGAGCTTGTTCGCTCGCATCACGTCCAACACTCGACGGAGGTGTCCTAGATGCACCTCCATGGCCGTCTTGCCTCCCTCGGCACGGCTATGGACGAAAATGTCGTCGAAGTACGTCTGTACGAAGGTACGCAAAGGGCGGAACAATTGCGTCACCAGGCGATTGAACGTCGCCGGGGCGTTAGACAAGCCCTGCGGCATGACGAGCCACTCCCAAAGCATGCCGCTTGGAGTGCTTACCGCGGTGAGCGGGATGTCACTCTCTCGCATCAGGATTTGGTAGTATCCGTCTACCAAATCCAGCGCACTGTACAGTACGCTCCCGGCCATGTTGTTCAACAACACATCCTTTCGTGGGATCGGTGTTTGGGCCGGCACCGTTGCGTTGTTCAGCTTGTTATAAGCGTGAACCAGACGCCACTTTCCGTTCGGCTTACGAACGCAGAAAGTCGGCGTCGAGTGCGGGGATTTCGACTCCCGCACCATGCCTGCCTTCGCTTTCGCGGCGAAGAAGGCATCAATGACCTCGCACTGTTCGCGCGGGAGAGGCCATTGCCTCGTGACACAATACTTTGTGCCGGGCACGAGATCAATCTCGTGCCGTACGCCTCGATCCGGTGGGAGTTGGGTCGGTGGGTGTTTATTCACCACGTCCGCATACTCCGTCACCAAAGGATACACCGGATCCTTGGGGTTCTTGAGAATCTCAGAACCCAAGCGCGCCTGACGCTGCTTGTTCATGTCTTCCAGGACGTTCTCGTCCAAGACAGAGGAGGAGTTCAGCTCCTCCTGAGTGGTCTCAGGTCTCATGAGTACCATCTCAGCGATCTCTCCAGCCTTGAGGTTGGCCAGGAAAGACTCAGCCGTCATTTCCTCGAGGTTCAGTATCTCTGCAACCTCTGGCAACGGTTCCAAGTGGACACCAGAGGCCTTGACGGGTAAACCCGTCTCGCTATCGAAGATGTGATAGCACTCTTCCACCGGCCTTGTCGGAGGAGCCCGGGCCCTGGACTCCGAGTCGCTTGAAGCGACGTCGATCGGAACGAAGTTCGGATCCGACTTGAGGCTGCGGCGGCGTCTTTGCCGACGGCTTCTGTGACGGGGAGCTTTGCTGCCCACGTCTAGGGATGTCGTCGCTACGACATCCGAGGCACTCGTGGCCTCGTGTGGTACTGTTGTACCCACACAGGAAGCGTGTTCAACGCCTTCCTCTTCAGTTAAGGTCTGGGCGACCGCGTGTGGCACTGTGTTACCCACACAGGAAGCGTATCCGACGTCTTCCTCTTCAGTTATGGTCTGGGCGACCGTGAGTGGAACTCTGTTACCCACTCTGAACACGCTGTTCTCAGTGTTCATGACAGCTGCAGCTGTCTGCGGAACTATGTTACCCGCCTGTGGACCTAAGTTACCCACTTGGCCGGCGCCTCTTCTGGGCGCGGCCACCATCAAAACATCCTCGGAGTCGTCATATACGTCGACGACTCCCAAGCATCTGCCGGATGCTTTGGTACCCTGGCAGCCCTCGCGGGCGCCCCGGGTCCTGACAGAGGTGGGAACATGACTCACCAATGCTCTGTCGGACTGCGCAGGGCGGCTGGCACCGATTGCCTTGCCTCGCCAGTCGATCCAGGGCTCGTGCTTCTCAAGCCAGGGCATGCCCAGGATCATATCATATGGATCCATATCGAGAACAGTTATTGTTCGAGGCTGTCAAACTCTTCAAACTTGACAGCCAGATCCACTTGGACGTTGGGGACAGTGACGACCTTCCCGTCGGCCAGTCGCACTGACACCGTCCCGTTGTCCTTGCTTTCTCGCAAAGCTTCGGACAACTTGTTGCTGTTACGAGCAACCGTCTGGCGGCGTGCGAAATTCTTCGACGCCCCAGAGTCAATCAAGATTTTAAAGGGGTGATCGTACCCCCGTACACATCCGTGTACTACGAGCAACCCGCCGCTGCTCTTCGCCGATTCGAGAGTGCGAAGACTCTCAGGGGCTAAGTCCCCGTGGTACGCGCCACCCGCGCACCCATCACGAAGACTTAGTTCTTCCCCAGTAGGGCGCCCCGCCCCTACTGGTTCCCTGCGTTCCCCTGTCCCCGGGATCCTGGCTTCTGCCAGCGACCCTTGAGGACGGGCTTGGGGAAGGACCGTCTGCGGAGTCTTTCCGCGGGACAGTCGCGCTTGAAGTGGCCCATCTTCCCACAGCCGAAGCAGCGGATGTCACGCTGTTCGGCGGACCCGAGTTCCATGGGAACTGGTCCGTTGGGGCTTGTTCGACCGGGAGCCGACAAGGAACTCCCAGGCCACGCTGAGGCCGGCGTACGCGCCTGGCGATGGCTGTATTCTTCTTGAAGAGCCACTTGAATCGCCTCTTCAAGGGTGTTTGCCTGCACCCGGAACAGCTGAGTGCGTGCGGGGCCCACTCGAAGGCCGTCCATGAACACAGTCATCTTGATGTGTTCATTGAGTGGGTTTCCCACTAGGGACGCCGTGAGCTCCCGTATCTCTTGTACATACTCGTGCAGTTCGCGTCTTCCTTGTTTACACGCGAGGAAGCGCGAACGCTGGCGGTACTCGTAGTTCGCCGGGAGGAACGCGGCTCGGAGCTGTTCGCACAGCTGAGCCCAGGATGTGAAACATCCAGGGGATGTCGCTTCCCGAGTGTACGCCCAACTCTTAGCACGACCGCTAAGGTTGGAGAGTGCAAAAGCAACACGCAGTTGCTCGGTCGAGATCAGAGCCGCGTCCATCGCAAGCTCTACTTCTCGGACCCAGAAGTGAAGGTTCTCGCCTTCCTTCCCTTCATACGGCTTTACCTTCAGCCGTATTGGCTTCGGGTGAGGCGGGTTTGCTCCCGCCGCCGGAGCCTGCAGGTTCTCCCGCACATGCGCGATGAGGCCCTGCTCGTACGCGTCGAATGCATTGACGCGCTCGAGCTGCTCAGCCGGTGTTGATACCACCAGGCTCTGCAGGGCCTCCATCCCGAAGATGCCTGCCATCTTCCGAACCGACTCGAACTGAGAGTCGTTCATATGGGAGAAGTCGTTCCTATCCATGGCAACGAACTTCGGAGGTTCAGGTAGTCTACCCGCGATGGCGTGGATTGACTACAAGTGCTACCAAGTGTGACGGGGTCACACAGCACCTTGCGCTAGAGGAAGTTATCTTCCGAGAGTATACAAACTCTCAGTGAACGGCAGTTCACTGGTCCCCTCTTTAATTAAAGAGAGCGAAGTGACCTAAATAAGGTAGATTGTAAACTGAGTATATTTATAGGTAGGTTAAGTTTGTGGTTAATACAAACTATCAGTTACCTATAGAAATGCAATGTCATTTAACCAATGGTTGGTTTTGAATGACCTTGGTACCTTGTACCAAATATCCCGGAGTATGACATGTCATACTCCTGAAGTGTGAAGTGTCACACTTCATATAACCAGGGTACACTTAGTGCTACGTACCCCGTTACATTCGCCATATCACTGTAGGTTTCTCCCGTTCCTGGAAATGTCGTACTTTGTCAACCACAAGATTTTGCAAATTTTTAGTCTAATTGTTTGGTTACAACTTCACGGGAAGATAAACTCGATAAATTACCGAACAACACAGCAAGCTGCTGCGTTGCTCTAAACCACCTATCGTGTAATTGTGGTAAAGTTGTAGTAACGACTCGCTTGATATGTGTACGGCAAGCTTCTTGTTTAAGATGGTATGAAGTTCACAATAGCTTAACCGCTTCTGGGATCTTTTTGAAAGCACTCGTTCAGCCGCTTGGTCCAAGCGGCTCCAAGCCTTGGATGGCAAAACGCAGGAAGAAGCTCATCAAATGCGGTGTGTTCGATGCGCTTGCGTAATCTGGGCTCGACACGATTACGCGTGGCCCGTCTCTATATTTGGATTTGATGCGGCAACCATCCCTTTCTCTAGCCGCTCAGCACACGAACGCGCCACCGAGACTATCGGCAACGCCAACGGCTCCGCTCGCCTTAGCAGTCGTGCAAATTGCAATGTAGAATACAAGATACTTACCATGGTGAACGTCTCTGCAGTATGTATACAATCGCTGGCACGCGCCCGCTGTTTCCGGCGCCACTGTCGCCAGCAGCTCTACACTAACAGCGCCGCAACGATGCCAGTGGCGGCCACCCTCCGATGGCAGACGCTGCTGTAGTGAACCTATTTGGCACTGTGGCTCAGGGGCATGTCTCGACGTTGCACAGGTGCTCTCCCAGCGATCGAATCCGGTCCGATACCGCGGGCGTGTGAGACTCTCCGGGCGTCAAACAAGGGAGAATCCACGGACGAATGATGGTTGCGATCCAGTGATCCATCAAGCAAATCCGCTCGCTTTTCTCGCTTACAGGCCGCGCAGGAGCGGAACGCTGAGCTCCGACATGGTGAAAGCGAATCGCCCACGGGTCATCTTTTGCCGACGCAACTCTAGCGAAAGCGTCAGAGACGGGGCATCCCATCGTTGATTTCGATTACGTAGAGAGCTCAGTCCACAATTTGCAGCAGGCAACTCAGATGAGCCCCAGCAAGCGCAAAGAGCCCAGCGTCGCCGCAGCGCCTACTCGCAAGCTGCGTAAATCCTGTTCGCTCCCAACATGCAACAGCCCGCCAGGCACCTGCATGCACTGCACTTGTGACGGTCGCTGCGGCCGCCACGCTTCAGGGCGGTGCGGAGGTCGCCGGGAAGGATCCGGCCGAGGCTGTAAGCGCGAGGACTGCTCACGTGACGACCGGTGTCTACACAGCAACCGAGCTACGTGCTGCCATTGCCGCAACCTCGTATCATCTGCGGGTCGTGCTGCAAAACGTCCGCGTGTGACGATGCCGCTCGTCCAGACCCAGTCTCGCGTCCAGTTCATGCCAGCTCCCTTGCCACCTGTCCACCGTCAGCAAGTGACCACCGCCCCCACAGCAGCCGTCGCAGCGACTAGCAAACCGCAGCAGTCAGCTACCAGATACTACCTGCTCGAAGCGGAGCTGCGCGCGTTCCTGCAGGACGCCAACCTCGGCGGAGACCTGTCGCTCTGCGAGTTCAAGGAGTGGACATCTCGGCGTCAGTACTGCAACCTGGTAGTGCTGGTCTGTGGCACACAGTTCAATTTGCACAAGCACCCGATGCTGCTGGAGAGCTGCAAACTGCGCAAAATGGCGCGCCAGATGCTGGAGAGTAGCGCTAACAACAGCAATTTTGGAGGGGCGGTGCCTGTTCTAGAGCTGGTAGCCTTCCCTGGCGGTGCTGAGATGTTCGAGACGTTGGCTATTTACTGCTACACGGGCGAGATTTCCTTCTCATTGTCGAATCTCGCGGCCGTGAACGGCGCCATCGAGTTCTTAGAGATGCGCGACGAAATTCGCCTCAGCGCCAAACGATTTCTTGACCAGCAAATCTGTCGGGGAAAGGAAGGCTTGAGCAGCACTTTGCAGGTGATTAATGCGGCGCAGACGCTGGCACGGGCTCAACCAGAGCTTTTCCACTCGGCAAGCGAGAAGCTCATAGAAACATGCATGCTTGCGTTGGTGGAGAGAGGAGATTCACTTGACTTAGACGCCATGTTGCAGCTCTTCACGCTGCCCAGCGCGCTGTTCGTGGAGCTCACGCAGCGATTAATTTCGTCCAAGGTGCTGGTATCAGCTACTGCGCGCTCCACTGCAGTGATTGCGAGCGAACTGTGTGTACAAGCGAAGCTGGCGCAGCTCCATCGAGACGCTCAGCGCCGCCTCAGTCCGAGCCATTGCAACCGAGTCATCGCACAACAGTGCGTGCAGCTGCTCCAGGGAGAGTCTGCTGAAACTGTCGATGCCATTAAGGCGGAGAAAATGGAGACAACGTGCGGGGAGCCGCTGGAGCTGAGTATGTTGTTCACAAGCGACAAGGCGGACAAGATGTTCATCAAACTAATGGATGACGATCTTTCAGCTTACGCGGTGTCCTCCAGCAAGCAAATCGACGCGTCCGCCTTCTTAGCCAGTGACAGTTTACGTTTCGGCACCCTACCGGAGACCTTCGTCGTGTAGTCAGTCAGTCAGCCTGGAGGCAGTTCACAACTTCTTGCTCCGCGCGAGTAGTACTACCAGTACAGCCCTACTACTACCCATTATAGTAGCGAATACCACAGTACTTGGCTTTGCTTTTGATGCCGACATTAATAATAGTTACCTCGAAGGAAAGTACTACTACCCGCTTCAACCACCATGACACGCTTCCGACTAGCAAAGTGACTTTAATGTCCAATCAGAGGTGCTGCTTAGCAAAAAAACAGAAACGGACGGCTCACTTCTCTATTTGCCACTCGAATCGTAGAATACCAAGAAAAGATGGCTGCCGTCAAGATCCCTGCATCCACGCCCGCCCCCGCCGATACACCATCCAGCACATGGATCGGCTATGTGGCGATGGTGTTGCTGGCGATGCAGTTCGGTCTGCAGCCTATTCTGTACAAGGAGCTCGCTGGCGAGGTCAAGAACCGCTCTGTGCTGGTGATTGCATGTGAACTGTGCAAGCTGCTGTTGTCGCTACTGACGCTGCTGTCCTCTGGCGCTCTGGGTCGTGTCGTCAAGACGTGGAGTCTGCACGACAGCCTCATAGCCTCGGGACTCCCTGCCTGCACCTACGCCGTGCAGAACGTGCTCATCCAGATCGCGTACCAGCACTTGCCATCCATCGTTTTCAACCTCATCAACCAGACGAAGCTACTGTCTGCCGCACTCTTCCTCTATTTCCTCATGGGTATGCGCTTTTCGCTGCAGCAGTGCTTCGCCATGATGCTGTTGCTGAGCGCCGCCGTGTTACTTTCACTCGCCAAGGACGGTGGCGCTGACGACGCAGCCACCCCGGCAATCTCCGTCGAGCTCGGTCTTGTGCCCGTGCTGCTCGCTTCGCTGCTATCAGGACTCGGATCGGCGCTTACACAGCGTTCCATGCAGCAACACAAGCGGGACGCTGCCCTTGTGACGGTGGAGTTGTCCGTCTACGGCAGCCTCTTCCTGATGATGCCGGCTATCTGGTCCACTATCGTCAAGACACCTATCTCGGAGTCGCCCGCTGCCAACGTCTTGACGAACATCGACAAGGTCTTTAAAGGCTGCACCTATTACACTCTCATTCCCGTCGTGAGCAATGCCCTGGGTGGATTACTCGTTGGTACGGTCACTAAATATGTCGGCGGCGTGCTTAAGTCCTTTGCGCTGATCTGCGGCATTGCCTTCACCGCCTTTGTGGAGAGCTACGTGTACGGTGCTGTGCTACCCAATGAGGTATTCGTTGCTGCTGGCCTCGTTGCCACGAGTATGGCCATTTACTCTAGCTTCCCGTACGCTAAAAAGGAGACGAAGGCCAAGACCGAGTAGACGAGGTCATCAAGCGAAGATTACGGCTAGGTTTTCGAGTGTACATGTAGATGATGCTGAAGTGGAAGAGCGCAATGCACGCAGGGGAGAACGTGGGGCCATGACAGTTACCCATCGGTTTGTAATACAGTGCAATACATTTCTAGAAGATGAGGCTACCGCAGTCTTTATCTCATCTTGATGTACACAGTGTAATACTCAACCAGTGCCTTATCCAAACACCTCGTCCAAAGTTCCCGTCGAGACGAGGATGACCCACATGATGCCCACACACAGCGAAACGCAAGACGAGAAGATACCGACACGCACGAGCGACGAGTCTGAGAAGCGGCTCATTCGGCCCGTGACTTCTCCATACAGCGCCGCGAAGCCGCCCATGGCGATGATGGAAGACACACAGAAGGCGCCGAGATAAGCGGACGACTTGACCCAGTCATTGAGGATCACAGCCGGCAGCACGCCCAGGATGCCGCCCGTGCCAGCCAAGCCATGAGCCGTGCCGTACGCGAATGCCGTGAGCCTTTGCGTGCGAGGGTTCTTGATGTCCGCTTTAATGAGACCAAAGCAGCAGGTCTTCTTGGTCGATTCCTGCAGTTCAATGGACGTCGGAGGACCGTGGTGGTCCAGTTGGTGGGCGTGCAATATCTTTTGCACCTCCGTATCGCTATCCAAAGCATCTTCCTTAAGTCGTTGTACTTCCGCTTCAAGGTGCAGCGGTGTAGTCTCTCCTGCCGGGTGGTGTTTGAGTTGCAACTTGCGCCTCAGGAGCAGGTAGTAGCGTAGGCTCCAAAGGCCGAGCCCCATCATGAGAAACCCCACCATAAAGTCGCAGTAGCTGCCGAACGTGTCCACGTCCAGTCTCTGGTTGAGTGCCAGGAAGCACACGGTGACCACAATAAGCCCTGTAGAGTGACCACATCCCCAACGCATGCCCAACTGGCACGAGCGCCACGACGATCCGGCACTTAACACGATGAGCGCGCTCAGATGGTCGGGGCCCGTTAAAACGTGCACCAGCCCAAGCAGCAGGCCCGTCGCGATGATACCAGGTAGAGATGCGCCCTCCAGCGCCGTGACGGTATCTGCGGCGCCCATTATGATGGAAGAATGCTCGTCAAGGGGGGCGCTTTGGATCAGGTCTTGTTCACGTAAGATGCAGAAGATACTTCATTGTAGTTGTTTGTTGTAGTTCTGGTAAGCTTTTCCTCTTTATTTGTGTCAAGCAGTCTTTACGCAGTTTTTCTATCAATAATATAAGCATATAAAAATGCTTTAAAAGCCTGATATAAACCACCTTCCTGTCTTTTTAATAGCATTAGGGACTAGAGGTTTCACTCAAGGAGACACTGATTGGTGGATCGAATACGTCGTTGGCCAACTTCAACTTGCACTGTTTCCTGGGAGTCGTTCGACATCAGCAGGCAAACTCGATCCCTTGCTGCTAGTAGCAGTTATTAATGGTCTATAGTGCGTCTGAGCCATGTTTTTGGTCTCTTGACGTTGGCTGTTGACTCTTTAAGAAGATTGATATAGAATGGATCTGTAACAATTGATAATTCAATCCCCGAACACGCTATTTAACACACCTGTAGCCTGCAGCACGATCCATGCAGTTCCTACACCTATCGATAGAACCGATGAAGCTACAGCAACGTAGAATGCTGCACTCGGAGATCGTGCTCTCCCACCTCGCTGCGTTAATTCTCCGTAGAGTGCCGCAAACAACCCCATCGACATAATGGAGCTTGCACAGAAGCATCCGAGATACAGCAGAGCTCGCAAAGTGTCGTTCTGCATTGCGAGTGTAGGCAGCACTGCCAATAGACACCCCGGTCCAGCAGCCCCGTGAACAATACCTGCTCCTATGCTGGCTGCTGACGCTGCACTAAGCTGTAATTTCATACTGGGATCACGTGGCGACTGCAACAGAACGTAGGACGCATCTTGACAGTGCACTTGACTCCACTTGGAGCTCGGCGATGAAGCCAAATGGGTGGGGCTGGAAGGTACATGACCACCGGTAGTCTCGTTGAATTCCTGGTGAGCATCACCCAGCGTCCAGACTCCGAGAAACAGAACACAAAGTCCCGTGAGGTATTTGCACACGGCGCTAAAAATGCTGCTGGGGTCCAGAGCGTGGCCAATTACAAATACGCAGAGCAGCGCAACGGCCAGGATACCAAGCGAGCGCCCACATCCCCACTGGGCACCGAGCAACAACGCCTGGCGCCACGTTTTCCCATTTGAGAGAGCCGCCAGTGCTCCAAGATGGTCTGGCCCTGCAGGTACGAACGAAATAGCGTTAGTAAGGGATATAGACCCGAACCAGGAGATAGGAAGCCTTTGCACCCGCCAGAAAGCACGTGGACGATGCCAAGGGAGGTGGCAGTCAAGGCAACTCGCCACATTGAGCTGTTAAGAAGGTTTGCATCATTTTCCACATCCATGTTTTCAGGAATTGTTGGGTAGCGCGACCTTTCACAGCAGCGATTGCATTAATATTTAGAGAGCTTTCGCAACTGTCAGAATCCTACTTCGAAGTAATCCGTTTCCAATTAGTTGATTCCAGATTCGGAATGGCTCGAATGTTTCGCACATAATAATCCTATTCAGAATCGGAAACGAAACAAGACGTAAGGCAGGCAAGACCTCCGGAAGGCAGAGCGATCACGACAGGAGGGGCTTGGCCTGCGCGGCTCTCACAGCACACTAAGGAGAGCAGTCATCGCTATAACTAAAGGACCACCACTTGCTAGTTGTAGTATGCTGCCGTTAACAAGTCTTAGACTGCACGTATTCCTAAATATTAGGTATTCAGCTAACACTTGCTGCTACAGGCTGTTCGACGTTCCACTGTGCATTACAACGCTAGCTTTGACTCGTGGGGAGAAAGGGGGGAAGTTCCTACAGCGTATTCCTACCAGAAGCGTGTCGGTTAACACCGAATTTAGGTGCAGCCCCACACCGACGTCGTCTCGACCCTCTTAAATTTGCTACAACTTAGCAATTTTATGAGTACTTCTGTTTCGGATTTCGTGTCCGAAATAACAATCGTATTATAATTCTTGATCAAATTCCTTATCGAGATTTCAAAACCAGGCTCATGTTATTTTTTTTGTTACCAGTCTCGGAATCGGACTCTTACAGTCTCTAATTATCCACATTACTTCAGTAATTGTCTAAGAAAAAGCAAAGAGCAACTAGATCCCTGCTACTACTTTACCCGATATTAATGGGGTCACATCGTGTCCAGAAGCTAACAGGTTGGCAGTTCTCTTCTCATGCTTCGAGGTAGTATTGTTCATGTTGCCAAATGATCTATTCCCCAAAGACGGCAGACATTTGGCCTGTAGCCTGCAGCCCAATCCACGCAACACCGACAACGAACGAGAAGAAGGCGGAGAAAATGCCGATTCGGAACTCCATCACTAACGAGTTGCCTCCAAGTCGGCCAGTAACTTCACCATACAGCGCCGCAAAGACACCCATGATGAAGATTGAGGCCACGCAGAATGAGCCCAAGTATGCCGCAGACTTGACCCAGTCATTCAACACTACGGCAGGCAACACGCCCAAGATGCCACCGGGTCCGGCGAAACCATGGATAATTCCCACAAGTAGAGCCATGATCTGCCACATGCGAAAATTACCGTTAGATCGCACACACACCAAAGATTAAGGGGACACGAACCTTTTGTGTAGCCGGATTCTCGAAACTCGCGTGTCGGCAGCAATTCCATTTGTTAGGGTGCACCTTCGAGAATTTGACTGGCTCAGCTTGACTTGAGTCACCGTCCTCTTTGACCAAGAGATGGAAGGATGATGACGAAGTCTCTCCCAGCGCGATTATGTTTGTCGATCTCATCGGGATTTGTGGCGAAGACGCTGCAGCAGCAGGAGACGTAGCACTCGACACTCTCCGCTGAGACAGTGGCACAAGCTCCACCAAATTGGTCGGTGTGGCGCCCGTGCTGCTGTGACTGGCACGATTGCTATCACCACGTCCACCCTCTCCGCTCACGAGCGACTGCACTCCCTCTTTCAGTTGATTGTGGTATTTCTTTCTCACGTGCACCGCCGTCCAGGCACCTAGCGCGATCATGAAGAAGCCCACTACATAATTGAGATATCCGCCCACAGCGTCCAAGTCCACCGTCTGGCCGGCAACGAAGAAGATGAGTGCCATGACGATAAGACCGATGGAATGACCACAGCCCCATCGTATGCCCAGCGTGAACGCTCGCCAAGAAGACCCCGTGGTCATGGCGGCCAAGGCGGACAAGTGATCAGGACCTGCATACAAAATTGAGACAGGTCCAGGGTCTTTTTAATCTCTAACAGCTATTGTAATCAATTGATAATGGGGTGTTTATTACCCGTGAGCACATGCACGACGCCAAGTAGCAGCCCCGTGGATATGATTTTACCTAGCGATGCCCCCGAGAGACTCGTGTGTTCCTCGTTCAGCCATCGCGTCGTTGTCTCCATTGCTGCAGTGAGTGAGATATTTAGAATGCTGAGTCATAGTGTCAAAATCCGTTTAGCCAATCAAATGGTGGCAGCTCATCACAAGTCAGCAAGGAATGAACACTGAGTGTGCATGTAAGTAAACCTTCTACTATACAGCAGCATTGAAATGGACAAAAAATGACGAACAACACATTGACATATACATGTACTCTGGCACACAAACTGCTATGACAAAATGTCATCGGAATGGCCAATCAAATGGACATCCGGAGCTAAATCACCTTGACACACATCACAACAACAAATTACCAAGAGGGATAGCATTTTGCACAATTCCAGGATCAGACCTCCATTTTAACTGTCGACTACCCGTAGTGTATTTCAGCTCATTCTGACCAAAGTCCATGGTCGCGTTGTTCTCGTCCATGAAGTCCACTCCGAGCAGTAACCCGCTCGTGCAGCCCTTCACTATGCATGCGTTCACGCTAATTTCTTCTCTAAACACGGTCCTCACCACAAATTGCCAAACCTAGTACGGGCCCGCCGATTCCTTCAATGTAGTCTACGGGCGCCCTTACAGACACCCTATCACCGAGCGCCATCCACTCCGTATCAGCCACGATCAGCCTCGCCCCGCTGTCCAGCTTAATGGGCTTCTGCATACCCGACATCTCTATCATGGCCGTTGGCAGACCGTCGTCCGCTTCCGTACTATTCTCGGGGTGCACGTCGGATTCTCCTTTATCTCGTCGCTGCACCAGTCGTACTTGCGCAGTACCGTCGTCTGGTGGCGTTCGTGCACCTCCACCACCATGTAACACTCCCACATCAGCCCCCTTACCGCACCCTCCTCTCTGCATTCTATCATCAAGCTGGTGTAGCTGTGGTGTTGGAATTCCTACGTGAACTCTAGCTACAAATGTAGCTGGGACGTTCCCACAACCATTCGTCTACTAAGATAGCAAACGATCGTTTGGGCGGACCTGAAGACCCCAGTTCTGCCCTTGCACCGGGACAGACTGGACCTTGTAAACTACTTATATAGGCCAACTAGTAAGAAAAAGAACACGCTACTACCATGAGCAAAGCTAATAGATGTTATGAATCCTCGTGGTCCCAACAGCGGAAGGGTACCAGGCACGGGTAAGCCTTTTACGAGGGCACCGAGTGTTCAATACTCGGTTGGAAGAATAAAAGGGATGCGATACAAGCACTCCCAGTCGTGCAAATAGGCAACAATAAGCCGTCACGTAAAACCTCCCGATAGAAATCGGCCAATACACAAAGTCTCTTGGCCTTGTCGGATGAACCCTCGCTACAGAGCTTCGAGTTCACCGACAGGCATAACACACTCAAATAAGCTTGACCAGACGCTTACGTTAAGGCCGGACGTTGCTCTGTGTGCTTGAGTGGAAATTCTGTTCTGTATTTATGTTTACCCGTTCAAGTCTATTCCTAATAAGAGGTCCTAATCAAGAATACAAATATCAAGTGAACAATGATCCGTTATGGATCTTCTTGCACGCCAAGCGTCGTCTGCACCGTCGCATGAGCATATTTAACGGCTCGCGCCCTGTCCCAGACGGTAAACGTGCCTTCAAAGGGTCACTGAGGCTTCCGCGAACTCATCCCAACCGCCACCGAGAATTCGTACCGTATATGGTCAGTTCTTGGCCGCTGAATGCGAATCCGGCCAGTCCATTATTAATAATAAGGACATCCTGGATTGAGTGACATCTGGACCGTATCCAATATTTGTTGAGAGTTCGGTAGTGACGCCGTCGAGTCTCTTGCACCTTGGAGTCCGTACATCACGTGACCGAGGGCTCGTCGCTTGAGCATTTTGGGCGGTGCCGCATCTTTGTTGACTACCGATTATCCGCAACTCTGGAGAGATCACTACACCACAACTGCCTCTGTCGCAATGGAAGCCACGGTACTGGTGCCTGCTGTGACATTTCTTCATTCTCCAATTCACCATCCAGTCACCAAGCGTCTGAATCGGGTCGTGAATAACGCGCTCCGGCGTCTTTAATCCTCGCCGACGACGTGAACGTGAACAGCTGGAGGTACGTCAGCTCATCTTCTTCTTGAATCATCGGTGCCTTGCTCATCACCATGCATTACTCGTCTCGTTTCTCAGGAGGGCGACACCGAGGTTTCGAACGACCCTCGGCCTGCCACACTTCCTTTGACGGCAATGTCGTCAGCTGGACTCCGGCGCTTCCTGCCCTGGACTCTTTACCTTTATCTCCTTTTAGTCAAGCTTTCCGAGAGAAAATTTATCGACAACGACACGCTCAAGGTCCTCGAGAATCAAAAAAAGCTCGCAACGCCCACATCCTCCAAGTCAACCGTACTCTCCGTGCACACGTGAGTCTGGCCGGGATGGATCCGGAGGTCCTTCGTCTGGCTGTTAATGGTACGTTCCTCATGTTGTTCTTTCCACCGTGCGTTCAGCAACTAACGTTCGTTCACAATCCCTTGTGACAGGTCTCACAGCGGATGAGCTGGATCTAGAAGCTCTGGACTTGGACCAGGAGACGTTGGTCGCCTTGCAGCGCATACAGTCTGCTGCCGCGTCTTCGCATGGCCCCCAAGCTCTTCCTGCAGCTCTGGCGCAGGCCGCTCATCAAGTGGCTCATGGAAAGCACCACAAGCGTCTTCGACCAGGTGGCAAGGAGTCAGATGACGAGTCGAAGATTCCGACGAAGATAAGACTCCCATCCCGACGGACAAGGCCAGTACGTCTATGACAGCTGCCGGTCTCGGTGATGCGCCACCTCCCGACTCTTCGACCCCCAAGTCTGCACGTCGGTCGCTGTTCAGCCCAACGGCATGGAAGCAAGCGGCTCAGAGGAAGCACCAGAAGACTCGACTTCGTTCTCCCGGCAAGTCGCCCCGGCGTCATTCGAAGACTCGGTCACAGTCTGTGCCATCGTCTCCTCGTTCATGGTCGCCACCTTGCAAGCCAGCGTCATCCTCAACTCCCGCCGTTGTAGACCGTAGCGGTGACCAGAGCGACGTGGACATGGTGGACGTTGAATTCAAGTGAGGCCCCCTCGGCTCAGGATACTATCACCGAGTCTTTGGGTAAAGATGTGGGATCTGGGGCTCCCGACAATGTCTTCGATTCTCCTGACGCGTCTTCGCCTCCACCTCAAGGTCCTCCCGACGTGGTCAAGCCGTCAGCGTCGACTATCTCTCCTTCTCCAGCGGACATACGCGCTGCCGAAGAGGCCTTGCGTGAGGCCGAAGAGTTTCAACTCATGTTCGGCTCGGATGACGAAGATGATGAGTCGGATAACACCATCCCACTCGGCAAGGCTGCTTCGTCGTCTGCTGCGGCTTCCAAGACGGTTAAAGTCTCGGGAGTAGTTTCTGCAGCAGGGCTTGCCCCTGTTGAAGCTGCTCCACAAGCCTCCGTGCATTCAAAGCCGGCTCCGACCGTTCCATCAGCTGCCGCACCAAGTGTTTCTTCGACCGACTAAGATTACGGCCACCTACGCATCGGTGCCGCGTCGTGGCGGTGCACCGTCGGTTGAGGCGTTGCCTCACCGCGTGATGCCCGGCGCTCCCCCTACGGTGCAGGCTTCGTCCACCTTGCCACCGTGGGTTCTCCCGTACCTGGACATGGAGCTCACCGATGCGGGTGCCAAGAAGTGTTATGAGCGTCTCTTGAGCATGACTCTACCGGAACCAGCCGGTGAAGTAGTCGTGGGGTCCGTGCGACGTTGGAAGACCTCCAAGCGTACTTCGACTATTCGAATCCCGATCATCCGTATAAGCAACTCCGGCGGCTCTATCCCCTCTAGGCGTGTCTCTTCGACACCATCGATTTCGACCCAAGCGTCCCCATTTCCAAGCGTTCCCCATCGAGACCCGCCTCAAGATGATCTGGGTGAATCTTCGGGGTGACGGCGGCAAACAGGGCGACCTCGGGCTCGCGTTATGGGAGCGTCTCCACTGACTTCCGTTAGCTAGTATCGAGCGAGGTCTCGTCAAGGAAGCCAAGAAGGTCGCTCACGACAAGGGGCTCTTAAAGGTACTGAGAAATCTGTTGAAGAAGCTCTTCAGTGAGCGCGACCGTCGTGCCGAACGTCTCCGCAACAAGTACCGTAAGCAGTACATGGCGTGGAGTCGTGACTCGGTTTCCTCCGGCTCTTCTGATCCACCGTTCATTCGCCCCGAGCTGCTTTTGGATCCGTCGACGCCGTGGTATCCCATTGAAAACTTGTCGTTCGCTCTTCGGACATCTGACTGACTTTCCGAAGTTTCGGTTCTCGACGTTCGCCATCCTTGGCGTACTGGATGGATGAACGCGCCGCACCAGAACCCGTACAACACTCGTGCTAGCAATTCGGAACTCTTCAATCCTCGTGGTACGCGCTTTGTAGATGTGTACCGCAGCGTGGTCGTCGATCCGGCTCTGGCTCCACCTGAACTCATTCCGACCTGGCGCGACCTGTTTGACTCACCACCGGTTACCCCACGTCCTCCTCTGACTGCTGCTGCTGTTAAAGCCGGTGCCGAGGGTTTGCAGGCTACGAAAGCGATTCCAGCCGCCGAGGTTCAGCTTCCCCGACGAAGAGAAGAGGGAGAGTGAGGTCTCGACTTCGTTGACACTCCTGGCCGCCGCTGCCAGGCAATTGGAGTCACTTTAAATCCTCGCTGCTTGTTCCACAACATCCTCCGACATCCCAGGTAACTGTTGAGGGGTCCAGCGAGGTTTCGTTTTCAGTGGTCGCACTTCTGTCGACATTCATGGTTTTCTTATTCTTCATCATTTCCACAGCGTAATCATGTTCATGTTGTTCTTCAAATGCATATACAATATGTTGTTGCAGTAGCTTGTGTCGTCTGTTACCACAGGCTGCATCGCCCTGTGGACAGTTCACGCGTGATCCAGTCACGCTAGTCTTCATCCGCAACTTGCGCCATCTGCAGCTGATTCTCGCTCTTCTTGGCTCGCAAGTAGTCGTACAGCAGACCTCCACATGACACGTTGGATGCTGGTT